CTGATGATCCAGCTTGACTTGTCTTGGTCGCCACTCTTGAGCGTTAGCCTTGAATGATGAGCTTACTACTGAGAATGACCGTGGTACTAGGGGAATTCTCCTTGGAGAAACAGCAATAGTATAGTATTAGTAGTAGTGATAGACTCATTGATTAGCCGGTAAACCGTGCGAATTCTGCTATAAGACCTTATTGACTATATATCGAAGGGTTGTCGGAACTGCAAACCCCTGGTATCGCTGAAGGTCTAACCACTGTTCAGGTTGCTGCTTTGGGACTCTAATCGAAAATGTCCGACTGGACTATTGCAGTTATGAATAAGTCCGTAGAACTGGGAACCCTCTAAGAGCCAAAGCTACTCCGAGCGAGTCGCAGCCGTCCCCCTGCCATAATGTTCTTGTAGCATCACTGTCCTGGCCCAAGGCCAGTGGCCCCATGTTGAAACTTGCCAAGGCATCTCTCGGTAGGTTAATGAAACATGACAAAAGGAGAGAAGAGGAGTGTTCTCAGGTCTTTGACAATCTCTCCGATGACGCCACGCCTCATCGAGAGGGATCAAAACAGCTCCTGCGGCTCAAGGTTCTGTTGATAAAGAATGGGAAGGGAACAGATGTGAGGAAAAGTTGGGGAGCCACATCTGCAGGAGTCAGGAGTTGGGAGCATTCACCAACGAGGGAGAGAAGTATCCTATGGGCAAACTCTCCCTGGCAGAAGTCTACGGGAGGACTTTACGAGTAGGCTGAAATGTCATTCTCTCCAGGTGTAATGTCTGACCGTACGAGGGGTGGAATCAATTACTTTAACAATTCGTGTATTTCTACAACAATCTTCTTTGCAAAAATGCATCGCTTAAAGCGATTCGCTTTTGTTGAAAGGCTCGTGAGTGGATCATGGGGGAGGTGCTACGGAGTACACCTTGTCCTCAACACTTGAAGACAAGCTCTACATAGGTGATCAGCTCAGGACGAGTTTTATGGTTAGTTATGCGACTCTCCTCACTCATCAGAACGCAACAGGGCCATATAGGAGAGTCTCCTCAGGAGACAGAACTGAGTCGGCTCACCTCCAAACTCCACTAATGCGACCCAAGTATACGACCTCGCGAGCACACGTGTCCTCGAGAATTTCTTAACAAGGTGCAAGACATGATAAAGATATGACATTCTAATGTATGAAATAATCATGAGAAAAAATAAATATAGGACTGAATCTCTGTTCTGGGAATAGTGTTAACACAGGCTTTCCCACTTATCGCACTTTAACCGGACCAGCTTCCCAAATAGTCCAACTCCATGGCCAGTCATGGCTGTAGAAGAGAACATCTACCCATACGTGGAGGTTGAAGTGGGATTTGAATTCCCAAACGTCCGATTTGTGATCAACAGTGTTACCGAAGATGTCCAGGGATATACCGGCTCCGACAACTATCGCCGAGACTTCAATGCCCAGCGAACCATATGCTTTGATGTCACCATTGCGCGAAGCATTGACCGCAACTTGACCATTAAGTGTGGCTCTCAACGCAGGGAAGATACCAACTTTGATTATGACCGCGACCGACATCGCTATTTTCCCTCCGTAAGTGCCATTCCCACCGCCGCCTCCACCCGTAAGACATACTTGAATGCGCAAGCCTGCGATGCCAATATCAGCAGCGAAGACCAAGGCGCATCCAGTGGCTTCAAAAGCAAAGAATACGACCTCCGTCCCCGGCTGCTTCAAATGGACTGTGACCTTGAGGTGAGCATTGTTTTCTCCAATAGCTTGGTCGGTATAAGACATATATAGGTCGAGGGCCAGTAGCGTGTCGTTAGAGGCGTAACCAACATACAGGCAGTATGCACTGACCGACGTG